CCTGAATGTCACAATATAAAATGAATAGACGTGTGTTGCACAGTTAATGCCTAAGTAAAGAGGCTGTCTTTCAAAGGTCTGGAATATTTCTGATGGCAGTGTGACTCCTCTGGATGGCTCTCTTTCAAATCATGTGATAAATAATATCAGAAATGGCATGACTGTATCAGACAGTAAACTTTATTGTTGTTGTTATTTTTAAATAGGTTACAATGAAGAATACATTTTTTTTGACTTTAATGAGGATGCCAAAAGGACACCAGAGGCTGCTGCCACTGAAGCTGATGAACTGCTCAGGCCGCTGGAGCCCATCTTCCCCACAGAGGTGGTAGAGGAGCCAGCCAAAACATGAAATCTTCAGGACAGGGCTGGACCCCAGGGCAGAGCCATACCACAAGTGTTAGGCTGGTAGGTGTGCAGGATGTCTCCATGTTGGCTCTGCTCTCAAACTTCGATAACTGTGTACTCTTTTTATTTATTTCACTACTTGGTAAAACAAGTATCTGGTGTTTTTGCCTGAAATTCTTATCTGTTTTTTCTTTTTTTTTTTTGCAGCCACCACATTTCCATGGGGACACTAGTTCTACTGTCAATCAGAGTCATGTTCTAGTTTTACTAGAATCCAATATTTTTTCTTTCCAAACTCCACACTCAAACACATCCCTTTCAAATCAAAACATGTACAAAAACAAAATCTTAATTCCATGAGACGCTCTCAGTGCCAGGAGTGTGTTCATTGCATACTGCTGTGCTGACACACACAGGCACCTTTTTGTGCCCAACCTCAGGCAGAGGTACAAGGGCATTGCCCTTTTTGGGAACAGCCAAACAGCTTCACCTTATTTTCCTTTTTCCCTGATTCCTTCCTCTCCTTCAATTCTAGTCATTCTTGTATTACCTTTGCAAATCCTCTTTGGAACAAGAATGGGTATAAATAAGCACATTGGTGAATAAATATTCTTAAAGTTATTAAATGCCAATTATTTATCCTATAGCCTTAAAAAGTGATCAGCAAGTGCTTAAAAATGATGTATCATATATATTGACTGACTTGATTCTTTTGTGAGCCAGTGTTGGGGTTATAGCAGAGGAGTATCAGAAGTAAACACCTTCAAATACATATCTATATATGTAATAATAATATCCAAGTGATTGGGTTTTCTTTTAAAAGGGTTACCATTTGCTTTTTATAAAATGTATACAAATTGCTATGCACTGGCCTGAGGCAGAGTTGGCTAGGTTTAGACTTCTGATATACTCTGTAAGTTTCTATTAAGTACACTGAAAATCTCTCCTTTCGAAGAGTATTAACAAGGGAACTTTGTGTCCTCATGGTAGAGCCAACTTTTCACTCTCCAAGCTGTATCTTGAGATTGGCTCAGTGGTCGATGCAGAGCATGGGGCAGAGAATCACTTACTATCACTCTAAGCAGGGGAAACTGGTCAACATTGCCTCCCCTGGTGCTTAGCAACAAACAATGGGGCAGGAGATACTGGAGGAAAACTCGTCTTAAAGGATGTGCACATAGCCTTTGCAAACGTCCACAGAGAGACACACACACAAGCATCATATAAATTAAAATTAATGAAACCTGAACAAAAATAATTAAATTAACCTATGAGGTGATTTACTACCTTAACTAGGTCAGCACTTCAATTTCAACCTAGAGCACAGTCTTCTGACATTATCCTCATTTGAGGGCTGTGCTCACCAACAGATAGGATAGGCAGCATTTTAGTTTAGATTTCTTAGAGTGCTAAGCACTATTTCGATTTATATTTCTCTCTCTCTGTCTGTTATATAAAACATTTATGTAAAATATATAAATATTATCTGTGAAAGAGATGAAAGAAACTAGTCATAGCCCAGATCAAAAACTGACTACGGGATGGAGAAATGAGAGTGCTTCAAAGAACCATCAAACCACTGCAATCCTTGTGTAGGACTTCCCGATGCTCTTCTAAGGTCAGTGATGTGGCAGATGGTTATCTCCTCTCCACAACCACTGGCATAAGCTAAAGTTGTTCTCTAACAGAAGTGATTACCCATGAATACTGTGCTTTTAGAAAAACAATCCAGACTTCTTTTTAAGACTCACTGATACAGACTACCACTTGCCTGACATACAACCTAAAAATGGTCTGAAAAGATAATCAACCATAATTTTTACCTACACTCCATTTCTATCTAGCCTTTTCCTGTGAACAAAGGTAAGGAAGGAGGAATTACTGGCGAGTAGTCACAGCCAAAAACATACATCCTTTTTACTCAAGGCAACCTGGCTGGGTGCTACTGGCCCTGGTGACCCTGCCATCCAGACTCAGTCCCACAGGCTGAGCAACTGCTAAGATGAGGGTGGTAAGGAGTTCATTTGAAACTAGCTTGGACACAAAGGGGTGCAAGAATTTTAATTAAATTCCTATTCTTCCAGAAGAGACATTTTCTTTTTCTTACTAGCAACAACACAGGGACCTCTATCTCTCTGCCTCACTGTAGCCATAAAAGTGTGTCAACACTAGTTAAGAGAACTGTAGCAGAGAGACCTAATTCATATTTCCAAGACAGAAGGAAGAAAAAATGCCCTTTTAGAGAAGACAAAATTATACAGTCCCTCACAAATTTAAGTGGTGTAAGTAGAATGCATAGAAGGGGTTTTGTGCAAACAGCTGAAGAATCTACCTTGAAGATACAAGTGCCAGTCTCTCTATGTTTTCCTACCTGGGACTAACTGCTTTGTTGACAGTTACCCCTACTGGGGCAAAATCTCAAAACTGAGGTGAAAAGGGAAAACTATAGGAAAAATGTGAGTCAGCATCTACATCAAATAGCATTCTATCAGGGAAATTTAAGATGCTTTGTGAGGGCTGGCTCAGTGGTAGAGTGCTTGCCTAGCACGCACAAGGTCCTGAAATTGATCCCCAACACTGAAACAAAACAAAACAATCAACCAAAACAAAACTTCTAAAATGCTTTGTGATCATGGGGAAGGAAAGTACGTTTTCAAGACCAGGTGCCTGATCCAGCTAGCACATCTAACCAAATGGTTAACTACTTTTTGCTGGAAATGAGGGTGTTTTTATAACCATGTTATCCTGTCTATGTATGTGATGAAATAAGGAAAGGTAGCATACATATTTTCATATTCCTAAATGTAAGATGAATAACACCAGACTGATATCAGGCACATAAACAGACATGGAATAAAATTGCTTAAAGGAAAACATTTTGTAGATCATTAAAAATTAATAAAATTAAGGAACTGGGGTGTGGATCCAGTGGTAGAGCACTTGCTTAACAAACACAAGGCTCTGATTTCAAACCCCAGTACCTTAAAAAAAAGAGTAAAGTTATCAACTCAGATAATTTTCCTATTAAAGAAAGTTAAGATTGGCTCTGTTTGGGGTTGGGGATATGGCTCTGTGGTACAGCTTCTGCCTAGCATGTGTTAAGCTCTGAGTTCCATCCCTGGCATAGCAAAAAAAGGAAAGAAAAAAGAGGCGTTGGTTGGGGAACTAAATCAAACATGTCAATAACCACAATTGACCCTTAATGGAAAACTGTTAGTGCTTTTCTTTAATGTGTTGTGGTAAGGAGAGTTCAAATCACAGCATAACAGAACTCATCTAAGCAAATTAATCAGTTTGTAGTCAGCATATCACATAGCAGAATTATTCAGTTAGGGAAAAACACACGGTTGAAAACATTACATTTTAATTTCCCACGCGTAAACTGATCGGTAACTGTAAAACCATCACTGGAAGAACGTGGAATCGTCAAGCATAACAAACCTACAGAAAGATAATTGTCTCCAAACTGAAGACGTGCACTCACCTGCCTCCCCACCTCATCAAGTCTATGCTTAGCACACGTGCAAAAAATACAATACAACACAACTACTGCAATTATTACTATCATTTTCTTTTGCCCTTAGGTGAGAAACACCTGACAGCTACATGCCGAGTCATGCTAACAAAACTAAACCTTTCACTTTCTTTAATAGTAAAATTACCATTACTGAATCATTGTCAAAAAAAGTGCATTCAAGTACATTACCACTTATTTTAAATAAACACCAATTTTGAAACAATCAACTTTGAAAAGCTGCATAAGTTTTTTTTTTTAAATCCCTGATTACATTTCTATTTATTCGCGGTGGTAGCCTGAAACATTGTATTTTTAGAGACTAACTACCACTTAATTTCTTTAAAAAACAAAACAAAACAAAACAAAACAAAAAATCCCATGTAATGTAGAACAGCAGTGAAGCAAGAAAAATGTGTGTTTGTCACTTCACTGTACATAAGAACCAGGCTAAAATATGGTGCTTGTGCCATATTAGTATATGGGAAAACACAATTGACTCACAGTACAGAAAGCATGGCTTACCAAGAAATCACTGTGAAATTCAAGGTTTGGACTTTCACCTCAATTCTGCATTCAGGCCCTCAGAACCTTCCCACTGAAGTGCTTGGCAGGCTTTGGGCACAGGCAGTAGCAATTGTTAACAGTGTACGATTAGCTTCGACCTAAGGGACTACTAGTTTGATGCCAGTGCCTGAGCTTAAGTTTATCTCAGTCTGCCGTAGAAAATAATCTGTGTGCCACAAGACCCAGCAATTGCCTGCTACTGCAGAGACCTCAAGCAGAAGCTTCTTTAGAAGGGGCCTTGCTGTGTTGCCCAGGCTGGTCTCTAACTCTTGGGCTCAAGTGATCCTCCTGCCTTAGCCTCCCGAGTACTGGTACTACAGGTGGGTACCCCCACAGCTGGCTCTGGTCAGTTCTATTTCTCCAGTTATTCACAAGCACCTTGAATTTTCAGCATTGCTAAACTTGATGCACATTTCCTGCAAAGATACCAACATCTGAATCTTTTGTAACCATCTGAAAGAAATCATACTTAATACAGTAATCAGGAAAAATCTTATCCCTATCAAAGACCAAAAACTACTTAAAAATATGCACTTTGCTAAACAGCTTACTTATGTTTATAGTTGCTACTTACAAAAGTGATAACCAGGAAAGAACCTGTATTGTGAATACAGTGACCAGAACAAAATATCTGTAGCCCTTGACAACACACCAAAACAAAGCATGTGCTTATTGAAAAGGACTTCCAACAGGTCAGCCTTCTGGCTTACGGATCAGCAGCTGGAGCTGTCTGTTTCTCTCATTTTTTCAACGCTGTCTTCTTTGTATTCTGGTTTCATTTTGCCTTCATCCTCCTTGCATTGAGTTGGATCTTTTTCAGCGACCTGGTCTTTGGTTTGGGGTTCAGGTGTGGAAACAGGATCTAACACTATAACGGGTTCAGCTTGTCTTTCACTACTGCCCACGTATTTCCTCCTGTATCCACCGTTACTGGGAGGCCTGTGGGATGGAGTTAAACAGAACAATAAAAGGCAGAGAGAGAAAACATTTGTCTTTCACATTCCTGGATTCAGACCAACTAACCCACCCCCTAAGTGTTCTAAGTGTAGTCAACATGCACATAGTAGTCTTTCAGATGCCAGCCATTTAAAAAAAAAAAATGAAGCTATCAGATTACATATTAAGAGCACAAGGCCAGAAAAGAGAAAGCAGAAAAAGTCAAAGCTAACTATAGGAGTGTTAAACAGCCAAATGCACCTACCTGCTTAACTGCATGCTCCTCTTAGGAAGGGCAAAACTCATGGGTTCATTGTGCATCCCACTCACTGCCCACACCCAGACTTCTGCCCTGGAGGGTGCTCTCCCAGCAGGAAGGAGCCAGTCCAACCCCTTCCTCCCTCTTGCCCCCATGCGCCTGGCTGCAGCTTCGCTCTGAAGAGACCACATGGAGAGGGGAGGTGACACTCTCGCTTGCTGATGGACAGGTTAGTGCTATAGCCAGCTGTGCCACAGCAGCCATAGCGACTAGGAGAGACCTGACCCAGGCGGTGGGGGGAGGAAAGGACAGGTGGGACAGTTCCGGACATAAGCTCAAGCACTGAGTTACCATAAAGTTTTCTACATAGAAGAATCAGGTTTCTCGAGATTTTTCTTACTGAATTTCAGAGGCATTTTCTTTTTCTTCAAAAGCTGCCTCTCTTCAGATGCAAGAAGCTATTGCTTCTCAGGCTGGACAATTTTCCTTGTGGAAAGAGAGGTGTCCCTGAAACATATTCTCTTGACACATGTCAGGAAATTTGGCTGCAAGCACCTAGTCCTCTCAGAAGACATGGTCAGGGTCTGGCTGTGGCAGCACAATGTTTGCAATCCCTGTTACTTGGAAGGTGGAGAGTGGGAATACAGAGGTTTGAGGCCAGCCCTGGCAAAAAAATTAGCAAAAGCCCATCTCGACCAACATGTGGTGGCATGTGCCTATAATCCCAGCTAAGTGGGAGGCAGAGGTAGGAGGATCATGGTCTGGCGCTAAAGCCCAAAAGGACTGGGGCAAGGCTCAAGTTACAGTACCTGCCTAGCAAGTACAAGGTCCTGAGTTCAAACCCCAGTAACACCAAAGGTTGGGGGGAGCTATGATCAGAAGGCACTGGGGGAAGGTACTGGGCTGTAGCTCTCTGGACTTTTCTTGCCCTTTTGGCCAATTCTCGGATAAGGTCTTTTCATCCCAGAGAAGCAACTATTAACTGTGAACCAGCACACTGCTTCCTACCCATGACGTGTGCTTGTGAGTTGCTGGCCAGCCCCTCACCGGGAGTTGGTTTCCACTATTTCTGACCCCTTGAGCAGGCCAGATCTGCTGGTGAACACTCATTAGGTGTTACACTTCTCCTTTGCTGGACTTACCACAGCTAATTAGGTGCTCCATTCTGTATTTTTCAAAAGCGTATAAGCATCCACGAGGCAGCGAATCTTAAGTTTTATTCACAATTCTCTCCCCATTGCCTTAGCACAGGTTGCTTGTCAAAGTGAGCAAATAAGCAAATAAATACAACTGGGAAAAGCTCAGAAGGAACAGAGAGAAACCCAAGCTTTGGTGTCAGTAGGTCTGGATGTGGTTTTTATCACAAAAATAACAGAAAAAGTGACCCACTACTGGGACTTGACTGCATGCCCAGTCAAGACACAAAACACTAAAACCCAAAACCACATTCTGTCATCACTTTCTCACCTGCCCTACAAGTTGATCCAAGTGCTTCAAAAGTCATTCTTTCTGGCTATTGGGTTATATTAACTCAGTGACTTGGCCTTCATCATAAGTAACTAACATATGACACTGTCTTCCTTGTGGGTGGTAAAAGGAAGGAGAGCCTCAGGAACCTGGAAGGACAGGTTTTGCTGTAGGACAGATGGCTCCCTGTGTCTTCACTAGAAACCATCGTGACATTGTCCAACTGCCTTGGTCAAGGAACCACTTCTCAAGCCTTTTGCTACTATGTTTTGGGAGTTAATATGGGGTACCCATTTTGACTTTCTTTGGCCCAAGCAACATGTGAAAGCCTGTGATCACAACAGCAGAGCCAACGAGGGCCAAGAAGAACCTGCTCCAGGAACTACAGCCTAGGCACTGGAGGGCACTATCGAGCAGTCTATGGGAGACTGCTGCTTCTACACTTCATGCTGGGCCTGAAGTCAGTTATTCTGACAACTGAGAGGGAAGATGACTGTAAAGTACAGAGTCTCAGGACAAACTAGAGATGTATCTGTCTCCTATAAGCACCCATCCTGATGATACTCAGGTCCTGTGAGATAAGCTGGGGTCCTTCCACATGGAGCTGTACCACACACCTGGCCTGGGACGTGAAGAAGTCAGAGGAGGAGATAAGAGGAGCTAGAGAATCGGTAGGCTGCTGTGGCCCCATGTCAACGAGGTGAGTCTACACGTTGGGGCACTGTGCATGAACTGTAATAACAGAGCCTGCCACATGTGGATCATCTTTTTCTTTTCTTTTCTTAATGATTTCTACTTCTGTCTTCTAAATCTCATGCAAATTTCTCTTGTGGCCAACTCTAAACTGGAAACAAATGGGTGAGGGAATTCTAGGAGGTAAAGGTGAAGCTTGCCTAGGTTTCAGTAGAAGCCACACAGAAGTCTGCCAGTCAAGTTCAGTTGGCTTCACCAGCCTAAGTCTAAGCCCACTGTTATGTACGCCAGCCAGTCTGCTTGAAGCATGCAAAGGAAGTGTTTATCTCATTCTACCATCAACCCACACCAACCTTTGTCACTTCAGTAGAACGACTGTGGCTGTTTTCATGCCCCTGTCTATCTGCAGGGGAACCGTGGTACATATCCTAGCAAAAGCTGTCTTCATCAGCTGGGGCGCTAGACACTTTCATGAAGTGTTCTTTCTTGGGGCTCCACAACAGCAGTAAACAGGTTGGCTGAACTGAAAACTGAGAAACTGTATTATTGTCAGGCTGACACTGTCCTGGACTTGTGTCAGTCCAAAGAACTATTCCTGAAGTAGGTTGCTCAGCTGCAGACTCACATATTAGCCTCCTGCAGGCCACCGGTTGAGAGCCCTTGGTTGATTCTCACTGCACTAGGCCCAGTGGGCAGTGTCTGAAGCAGTGTCTCTCAGGAACAACGACCACTGCCTTGGTACCCCAATGGGTCAAGGCAGAAAGGGACTCAGGCAGTCATCTAGTCTGAGCTGTCCTTGTACAAATAAGGACAGTGAGGCATGCAGAGGGGCAACCCTGCACAGTTCACCAGTGGCAAGAGCTGAGCTGCCTCCCAGTTCCTGACTTGCCCACAGTGCTGTGCTAGTTCCTGAAGGCATCTTCTCAAAACAGGACACTGATGCCCCAGGCTAATGTTAGGCATTTGTAAAGCTGATTTATTCCCCCTGTTTCTAACTGCATTTTTCAGTCCACAACTATAAAATTCATCCCTTCAAGAAATCCTCCCTCTGGAGTTTGTTGCTTCTAGTTTGCCATCACTAGGTCCTTTCCTGGTTTCCCTGAAGAGTTGCCTAAGGCTCCTTCTGAAATGAGGAGCCTTCATCCTAGGCTATATCCTATCTCCATCTCCATCCTACTGGAAGAGCCAGAGAGAGCCCCTGCAGGAACAGTGCCAAGAACCCAGGCTCTTGTTCAAGGTAGCCACAGTGGCAGGGTCTGGACCACTTTAGTTACAACTAAAACTTCTGCAGGGAGACATCCTAGCAGCTCAAATTTGACAATGTACTAGAAATCATGGTAATTATTATTCTGTTCAGTTTTTCTACTTTAATGTAGCACCTGAGGACAATGACTACAAATAAGCAATTAAAAGTCAGTCCGCATACAAAGTCATGGCCACCCTTTTCCTATATGCAGTAAAATCTGCAAGGAGAACTGAAGTGTTATAGGTGGTAGGAAGTAAGACTACAGTCTTGGGACACTCAGGCTTAAAGAGATCTCTGATGTGACCCAGTCTAACCCTATCCCTGATCAGATGAACACTCCAGAGGAGTAAGGTGAAATGGTTTGTCCAGCAGCATACAACTCGTCAACAGCACATTCAGGACAAAAACTGTGGAATCCTGGTTTCCTGGCCAATATCTTTTCCTTGCTACAACAGACGGGTAGTCATGTGTGATCCACTCAGAGATTTTTCATGGATCATTTAAAGACCATGTGCTCAAAGGTAATTTCAAGACAAAAAAAAAAAAAACCCACAAAAAAACCCAACAAGCAAAATAAAAGCTAGGCCATAATATTTCAATCTATCCCATTCTACAGAGCCTGACACCCTTTTAGAAAGCAGCTACTGTTCCTCAACTGCAGGAGAGCCCGAATGTGGGGCTCTGGCAGGTGGGACCCCTTGCTGGTAAAAGGAAAGGCCTGACTTCAGACCTTCCTGGTACCAGAAGAATCAGAACAATTGTAGATGGTTCCACCAAAGCTGAAGCTGATGAAGGGATTTGTAGGTTTCTCAGGCTGTGTCACAGGAGAGGAAAGTGCTGCCTTCTAATTTTAAAAAAGCACATCATTGTTTGCATTCAGTGAAATTCCTTTCAAAATCAACTTTTCACGTTCCAATTATATTCAACAACATTCTAGCTAACATTTCGGCTGCAATTCAAATTAACTAATGCCCAAAAGAGCCCTAATCGACAAGGTTCTGAGCTCAATTGAATACAATCAAAGCTCATGAAATGAAGGGGGAAATGCTTATTTCATGCAAATCCTGCATATCACTCAAGCTTAATTTTACTGATAACATAAAGGTGGGACATTTTGAATGTAACAGTGAATGAAACTTTTAAGCAGTGAGAGTTATTTTATAAAATGCTACCTCTGAAAAGCTGATTGCCAAACAGTGTAAAAATGGTTTGAGGCACAAATGCCAAGTTCATTTCTATCTCACTTCTGAGGTAACTATCTTTCAAATCGCAACAGCTGGACTATTTAACACAATCTGGTGATTCAAAGTGTAGCTCTTCTTTGGTCTCCCAGTGGGA